TAAGTCGTAACATTATCATGTTTAGGTCATTTATGATTCTGTGCCAATTTGTGATAGCCGATAGAGTTCCTATATCTATTTTAATTCTCTCAAGTAAGTGCAAGTGAGTATTCAGATATTGCTTGTGTCAAAAGGAAACATTGAAGGCACTTTCATCCGAAAGAGAAAAGAACAAGTGTATATTAAGACACTTCTGATTTTTTATTAATTTGTGATATTCCAATGATTAGGGGAGACCGGGACTGGTTGATACAGTTTTTTTAAATGAATTTTTTACATGTAACTAATAAATAAAATAAATACCGCGAAGATGTTTTTCAACAGCCACATGCTTCAACAACATCGAAATTATTTTTATAATTTAATAATATAATTAATTTTGTTGTATTAATGGAAAATGTAAGCGATACTGTAACAACCGGCTCTATATGCAGGGTCAATTGTTACAATTATTGGAATCAGTTGTTATACATCCATTTCAAAATATAACACATTTAATTAAAGAAAATAAAAAAAATTGTTTAACATAACTTTATTTATAATTTTCAAATAAAATATACACATTAATGAAACATTACAGCTTCCTCATCTTCACATCCACGACCTCGATCGTTCTCCCTCCATCCTGTAAGAGAAACAAAAGAGATGAAAGAAATACTAACAGAAAAAAATACCTTTAAAAAAACAAAATTTCGTGCAACTAACCATCTCTCCCTCTTACGGATATATATCTATCACCTCTTTCCTAACTCCTTTAACTATCTTCAAATCGTCGGCCGCTGCGTCCAACAATTGCTGCGTCAATCGTTGCTTAAGATCTGATTCGGAAGACGTGAGAAATTCTGCTCGCACTTCAGCGACTTTCCACCATTGTCGCCGTTCCATCCCAGTAATCTTGTTTACATCGTAAATTTCAAGCCGAATCAGTCGATATCCGATCTCCCCCGGTGATTTCATAATCACTCGACAGTTGTTTTTAATTTTGGATATAGATTGCTGAATTTCATACTGCTTGGGTTGCATATCAAACAACGAATCGAGACCTTTACACGACTTCCTCTTTTTCACACCAACGGATTCCGCGTCGCGACTCACGGCATCTCGCTTAGCGGGAAGCGTGAACGACGATGAGGCAACAGGATCGCTACTACCACCAACATCGACACAACTTAATGCCGTATATACCGGCATATCGTCACTGTCGTCATCTCCATCCGACACGGCAGATATTATACGCGATTCGTCATGACTCATCGCAGTGTCTTTTCGCGACACGACAGCAATCATTCCACGATCCTTCATGCTCTTTTTATAGTCGTTTACCCATTCGGTAAAAGTATTCTTTCTCATCATTTTCTCCATCAAATTCATATGCAATTGTTTATCAACAATTAAACTATATATATCATTCAATGTACAAGTCGTACTGAGTTTCCCCTTGCGTAACAATTCCATATTCAATTCCATAAGCAAATTCTTCATTTGCAGACCTTCTTTTAAACGATTCGGATCTTTATTTGTTCCCTGTGATGTTAAATACGATTCTATCACTATAAACAATATTTCTAACTGTCGAGCCACTGGCTGCTCAGTACTCCAAATCTTCTTCAAAATATCCGAAAATGAAAACTTATTCATGACGATTCGTTCACCTAGTGTCGGAGATCTACAAGAATCAAAATGCACAATTCACTATCTCAGCGTCTTTCTGTAATGTTTTGTTTATAATGTTAAAATACCCACTGTTAACAACCCATCGCTATTAATCTTGTTTATTATATAAGCTCTCTCCCACTAACAACAATGTTGACGTAATTTTTTAAACGAGCAAAAAAGGCTCACAATATTACCAACAAATACAAAATACATTTCTGCATACTGCAATCCGGAAAAGCTATGAACTTGACAAGCAACAATGCATAAATGATTTTCTCACTCGCGTATAACTTATGAATTGTTCGAATAATCATCTTACAAACAGTAAACAACCCAGACAGCATACGTACGGATATCTTATGGACATCCATAAAATGTCCTTGAAGGACATTGAGGATATCCGTTTTAAATCCTTCGGACATCCACTGAATGTCCGTACCGAGCAAATAGTTAATGACGGATACCTTCACCGACATCGTCGTACAAATATTCCGATTAAAATTATAATCGTACGTGTTCAATAAACAATTGTAAAAGTAGAAATAGCCCAGTGAGAAGGCTGATGTCGAATTGACGTCGTTTCGACGTCGATGTCATCGAAAACTCATCGAATCGAAATTGACATCGAAAATCAGGCCATTTCGATCAAATTGTTTTGACATAAAAAAATACTTATTTCCAAGTTTCCAATCCAAGATCCAAAGTCCAAAACCCAAAATTAGTCTAAAATTAAAAGTTAATCATGCATATACATGTATCCAGTGAGAAATAATTGGTCGAAAAGACGTCGAATTGACATCGAATCGACCCAAAGAACAGAAAAGTCAAAATAATATCAATTTTACGTCAAATTGACCGAATTTACGTCATTTTTTACATTATAAAATCTAGAT